CACTGTCTCCAGTATCCATAAGCATTTTCCAAAGTATATTTTTAATCCAGAATCTACGGAGATTTTTTTTTTTTGGAGAGGTTTTTGGTACAGGGTGTGTGTCCTTGCTAGAGGAGAGAGAGACAGAAAGCGAGAACTCACCCCCCAGGAGGGATGGCCACACCGCAATCCTTTCTCCTCCATTTTCCTCTCAGGATCTTGGGCACACACACACATGCGCCTGGTGTGAGTTTAAGCCACCAGGTGTGGGACTTGAACCATGGTCGACTACATGAGAGTTCAGTGATGTAACCATTAGGCCATTGGCTGGTCCTCAGAGATCTTTTGTTTTTTGGAGAGGTTTTTGCTATAGGGCAGGTGTGCTCGCCAGACAGAGAGAGACAGAGAGATAAAAAGTGAGAAATCACCCCCCAGCGGGGATGGCCACTCCGAAATCCCTTCTCCGCCGTTCTCCTCTCGGGATCTTGGGCACGCACACACATGTGCCCGGCGTGAGTTTTAAGACACCGGGTCCAGGACGCGAACCATGGTCGACTACATGGCAGTCCAGCGACATAGCCATTACGCTAACTGCTGGTCCCCACAGAGATCTTTTTCAAAGGTAAAAAATATGTCATACCCTGTCTTCATCCCTGTAATAGTAGACCCCTTTATGTAGAAAGTAAGGGGACCGGCAGTTAGCATATTTGATAGCCGAGTCTCCTAGATCTCAGACTCTACTAAATCTTGCAAGAATAGGTACAATTTTTTTAAAGAGGTTTTTGCCTTAGTGTGTGTATGCTTACTAGAGACAGAGACGAGACAGTGAGAGAAGTGAGAAATCACCCTCGAGGGTGGATAGCCACACAGCAATTCCTTCTCCATTCTCCTCCCTGGATCTTGGGCTTCCACGCTCACACACCCATCATGATTTTCAAGTCACTGGGTCCAGGACTCAAACTGGTTGGCCATGTGGGAGTCCAGTGACATAACTGCTACACCATTGTCTGGCCCTAGTGATGCATTTTTTAGTTTAAGGTTTTGCTTTACTTTGTTTTGCATGTATTTAGAATGAGCGGTTTAAGCCATAAGAGAAATGATTTTGTCTTTGCATCAATCTCAACTATAATTAGTAAAAATAAAGTTAGCACACAATGAAATGGGTATTATGAAGCTCATATATAAGAAGCTCTTTAGAGTAAAAACAATGTTTACAATTTTTTTAAACAACTATGGCATAATTAAAAGTTCAAAATGGAGTAGGGTCGTGATCCCTGTTGAAAGGATTTGCTTGTGAATGTTCACAGACTGTTTTGTCAACACCTAAACTGGAAACAACACAAATGTTCCTCAACTGAGTGACAGATAAACTACTGTACATCAAATGGAATTCTTTTCAGCCATTAAAAAAGAGAGAGAGAACAAATTATTAATATACTCAAAGACAAAGATAAAACACCTTGCTAAGTGAAAGAAGCCAAATTCAAAAACTACATACTATAAGATATCATTTACCACTTCCATTCTGGAAAAAGCAAAATGACAAGAAGAGAAATCAGATCAGAGGTTATCATGGGCTGGAGATGAGGCAGGATTTGAATACAAAAAGAAATGAGGAAAATTGGGGGAAATGATGAAGTTATTCTGTATTTTGATTGTGACTATGGTTATATAACTATATTCATTAGTCAAAACACATGTACTTTTTTTTAAGAGGAACTTTTGTGCTCACTGGGGACACAGAGAGAGACAGAGAGACAAAAAATGAGAATTCTCCCTGTGGGGGATGGCCACACCACAATCCCTTCTCCTCCATTTTCCTCTCAGGATTTTGCGCACATGTATACATGAGTCTGGCATGAGTTTCAAGCTGCCAGGTCCAAGACTTGAACCATGGTTGGTCATGTGAGAGTCCAGCTATGTAACCATTATGCCATCTGCTGGTCCCAACATACATACATTTTAAGTTAATTTTATTGTATTAATTATACCTTAATACAAATAATGGGGAAATTTATTTAATTTATTTATTATTTAAGAAATGAGAGAATAAGCCCCATAGCTTACAGGTTAAGAGAGCTGGTTCCCACATGGCTGACCAGGGTTCAAATATTAGCCCTGGTGTTTGAAAAACACCACGGCATGCGTGCATGCCCCAAATCTTGACAGGATGGAGAAACGAAGATGAGATTGAAGTGTGGGGGATGCTTCTTCCTTCTCTGTCTGTCTCTCTGGTGAGCATATGTGCCCTTTGGCAGTTAAAAAAAAAAAAGAAATGATATATTTTAGCATAAATAGCACATAAAAATGCCACTACAAGTTGCTCATGATTTCCGAAGAAGTAAGAAATACGAAGTATTCTAACTTTAAGAATAGTAACAACATTTTTTTCAAATATGTAAGACCTAAGTTATGTAGAGAGAAGCAGGTCAATACTGTAGGATCAGAGTAGACCAGAGACGGGCCATCAGTGGCATTGTGAAGGTGCTGGGCTCCCACATGGCTGACCATGGCTTAAAACCTGGACTTGACGGCTTGAAAATCACGCCAGGCAAGTGTGCGTGTGTACCTAAAATCCTGAGAGAAGAATGGAGGAGAAGAGATTGCAGCATGGCCACCCCTAATGGGGGGATGATTTCTCACTTTCCCTCTCAATGTCTCTCTCTGTCTCTCTCCAGCAAGTGCATGTACCTATGGCAAAAACCTAAAACTAAACAAACAAAAAAAACCAGAATAGATCACAGGAATTGCAAGATTTTTTCACTTTCAGATATTATATATATGAATTACATTAACTATTAAAAACTATAGAAATGAAATATATTTAACTCTTAACATTTTTATTTTGACTTACCTCCTGGAATTCTTTGAAAAACTTTGCTCAAAGTATCTCCAGCTATTATGTTGTAACTTATCATAGCTAAAAATATAATTAACATAATAGTTATCAACAAGCCATCACATATTTCATCCTGAATAGTTTGAAAACAATCAGTTATTACTTCCTGAATATTGGCATAATCCTATGATTTTCAGATTTTTTTAAAAGAGAGATTTTTGCTATAGAGCATGAGCACTCTATAGAGAGTGAGACAGAGACAAGATTTGAACCCTGGTCAGTCATGTGGGAACCAGTTCTCTTAACCAGTAAGCTATGGGGCTGATTCCATCATTTCTTAAATAAGAATCTGACTATTTTCTCCATTATTTGTATTAAGGTATAATTAAGACAATAAAATTAACCTTAAAACATATATATGTTGGGACCAACAGATGGCATAATGGTTATATAGCTGGACTCCCACATGACAAACCATGGTTCAAGTTTCAGACCTGGCAGTTTGAGAGAGACAGAGACAGAGAGATAGGAAGTGAGAAATCAGCCCCCCGGTGGGGATGGCCACGCCACAATCCCTTCTCCTCCTTTCTCCTCTTGGGATCTCAGGCACTCATGCACACGCACCTGGCATGAATTTAAGCCACTGGATCCAAGACTTGAACCATGGTCGACTACATGGGAGTCCAGTGAAGTAACCATTAGGCCATCTGCTGGTCTATATTTTCAGATATTTTTACAATTGCCAAAATGACAACTTTTTAAATAACTAGAGGTCAAGCCCCATAGCATAGAGGTCAAGGGAGCTGGATTCCACACGGCCAACTGTGGTTCTCTCAGCTCCCGGTCTTGAAAACACATGGAGAATGTGTGTGTGTACCCCAAATCCTAATGGGATGGAGAAATAGCAAGAAAGGATTGTGATGGAATCACACTCCATTGGGAGGGTACTTTCTTTTTTTCTTTTTTTTCCACTCTTGTAAGTACATGAGCTCTCTGGCAATAAAAATAAGTGTGGGGCTGGCAGGTGACATGGTGGTTAGGATGCTGGACTCCCAGATGGTAGACCACGGTTAGAGTCTCAAACCTGGCAGCTTGCTCTCTCATTTTCTCTCTCTCTCTACTTCTCTCATCAATATAAATAGTAATAATGGTAAATAAATATCTTTTAAAATGCAATTTATTTTGTTTTAAAGTTGTTTCTAACACATTTTTAAGAATACATGTAATGCTGGGGCTGGCAGGTGACATGGTGGTTAGGATGCTGGACTCCCAGATGGTAGACCACGGTTAGAGTCTCAAACCTGGCAGCTTGCTCTCTCATTTTCTCTCTCTCTCTACTTCTCTCATCAATATAAATAGTAATAATGGTAAATAAATATCTTTTAAAATGCAATTTATTTTGTTTTAAAGTTGTTTCTAACACATTTTTAAGAATACATGTAATGCTGGGGCTGGCAGATGGTATGATGGTTAAAGGCACTGGACTCCTACATGGCCAACTGTGGTTTGAGTCCCAGGCCTGATGGCTTGCTTTCTCACTTCTCTCTCTCTCTCTCTTGCTCTTTCCTGTGAACATATGTGAAATAAATAAATAAATAAATTTAAATAAAATAATTCTCAGAAAGATAGAATGCATGTAATGCTAAAGTGAGAAAAATTAATAGGAATAAAGTTTTTTAGAGAGATTGTTGCTATAGGTTATGTGTGCTCACTGGAGACAACAAAGAGACAGAAAGTGAGAAATCACCCCCCATGGGGGATGGCCACGCTACAATTCCTTCTCCCCATTCTTTTGAGATATTGGTATTGGGCATGTGTACATATGCACCTGGCATGAGTTTCAAGCCACCAGGTCCAGGACTTGAACCATGGTTAAATACGTGGGAGTCCAGTAACGTAACCATTATGTCATTTGCTGGTCCCAACAATAGATAATTTTGAGGGTACCAAAAATAGCCTCTTCACTGAAAAAATAAGACTTGGGGTCAGCAAGTGGCATGGTGGTTAAGGTGTTGGACTCCCACGTGACCAACAGTAGTTCCCCAGGACCTGATAGCTTGCTTTCTCACTGTTCTCTCTCTCTCTCTCTCCCTCTCTCTCTCTCTCTCTCTCTTTGATGAGCACACATGCTCTATAGCAAACTTGAAAAAATAATAAGAAATAAAGTAAATAATTAAAAAGGAAGACTTTTTGGGAAATATATTTTTAGCCTCTGTGGAGATTCAAGAACTAGTAATTTGAACAATAGCTTCTGTATTACTGATTTAGAAAATGAAGTCAATTTGGTTATTGGTGAATATTAAAAATTTACTTATTTAAGAAGCACTAGGTGACATTTTTACCATTAAGGAAAAAACCTTAAATAGCATGTATGGCTTTCAGAAATCTTCAGATAAGAAAAATTATATGAATATGCCATTAAGTCTTAAGGGGAAAATTATTATAGTTTTCATTTACTTTTAGTCCTAGATCATTCTACTTTTTATCAGATGAGTAAAATCCAAACTTCACACAATGAAAATCATCCTCATTTATTTCAAAGAAATGCTCAGAAAATAAATTCAAAGGACCAGAAAATAAGTAAATAAAATAGTTAAAGAATTAAACATTCAATTTGCAAAATATTTCAACTGCTAATAATCTTTAATGACTATTTAATGATTAAAACTTAAAAAAAATATTTTGCCAGGGGGCATGTGCACTCACTGAAGAGAGACAGAAAGACAAAGAGAGAAGGAAATGAGAAGCCTTTCCCTTCTGTAGTCCCTTCTCTATTTTCCCCTCTGAGATTTTGGACATGCACGCACACGTATCCTGTGTGTTTCTCAAGGTGGTGGGTCTGAGAGCATGCAGTCACCCCTGTGGGAGCCAGCTGTCTAAACCACTATGCCATGGCCTGGCCTGGTTAAAGCTATTTTATTCAGGAATAACTACATGTTTATGCAAATAATGGCAATAGTCATCTTACATCACTTCTTACCTATAAAAGGATACAAAAATTGTAGAACAGAGAGAAAGAGATATCCTGGGAAGCCAAAGGTTTTATTAACCAAAGACTGGTAGCTGTCTGTTCCAGAGAGGGCGCCTCCTTTTATTAGTAGAACAAGGGAAAAGTCTGTGGCAAAAGCAACAATTAAACAAGCATCAGTTTGCAATTAATACAAAGATTTTTCAAGTTTTGACTTAATTACCATTAAAAGAAAGAAACATTTCAAAGATGAGTTTAATTTAATGCACAGTATTACCATGACAAGGCTTTTTTTTGGAGAGGTTTTTTTGCTATAGGGAGTGTGCGCTCTTCAGAAAGACAGAGAGACAGAATGGGAGGATCATCCCCTAGGGGGGATGGCCACGCCACAATCCCTTCTCCTCCATTCTCCTGTCGGGATCTTGGGCACGCACGCACACGCACCTGGCTTGAGTTTAAGCCACCAGGTCTGGGATTCAGACCGTGGTCTGTTACATGAGAGTTCAGCAACATAGCCATTACGCTAACTGCTGGTCCTGACAAGGCTTTCTTTTAGTAAAACATTACCTGTCTTGATACTGTAAGGTTCTCAGTTATGCATGTTTTCAGTTTGGAAGCCGGTTATCCATTCAGTGAAGTGGATAGAAGACAGTATGCAGACTGGTCGAGTCCAAGTGTCCGTGTTCCACTCTACTTCCCTACTGAGCCAATGGAATGACTGTCACCAGGATGTGGCTCAATTTCCAAAGGAATATTTGTAATAGAATATTTCATAGGTATTCAACAGGTAAAGATTGAAAATAAAAAATGCTGTACTCAGATTATAATAGATGTAGGGGAATTAGAGCTTTTTTGATAATAAAATGAAATGATTTATTTAACAATTATTATAGTTGAAAGTACTCTTTAATTTTTTTTTTTTTGAAATTCACATTTTAGAAATTTCAGTCCCAATTTCAGAATTAAGGTTGAAGATACAAATATATAGACATCACAGAATTAACAGTTAATCTCTCCCTCTCTTTCTTTTTCCTTCATTTAACACAGTTGATGGCTCTTTTAACTGAAAGACACTGACTTTTTTTTGGACACATGGGTATGCTACTGACTTTCCTTTTCTTCTCTGTCCCTTGCTTCTGTTACAGTGATATTTTTTCTATCCTTTAATTTAGAAATGTATTAAATTGCAAAGAGAAAAATAAACGCAATCTGGTTTCAACCTTGATTCCCTCTCGCATCACTGCAATTTCTTTTAACAAGTTCATCAATGATCTCCAAGATGATAAATTCAACTGGCGCTTCCCAAACTTTAATCTCCTTTCTCTTGCAGAGTACTGTCTTCCTTTCTGACTGCTTACCTGTCTCCTTTTTCTCAGCTATCTTTCCTTGGCCTTTGCAACATTATTTTCTCTTGGTTTTCCTCTTATGATTTTGGTCATTTATACTCATTTATTTATATATCTTTAACCAGTTTCTCTTACTTTGCCAAAACTCTGAATTCTTAAACTTTTTTTTTCCCTCCCTTAAAGATGCCTCACTGAGATTTCATTCATGGTTGCAATTTTCATACAGATATTAGCAACCCTTAAATTTGTGTCTATGAGTCAAACACCTTCAAAACTCTAGTTCTACATCTAATAAATATTTTATTTTATACATCTCATAGTCACATAAATTTTTCAATGTCCATATTCTAATTTGTCTCTTTTTTGTGGAGCTTGACTTTCCACCCATATTTCTCCAATCTATGAACAATAGCAATAGAACCTTGAGAATCATCCTGGACTTCTCATTATTCAATATTTTCTATATTCTTTTGCTCATGAAATCCATTAACTATAGCATCATAAATGTGGAACTATATTCCCTAATTTCTCATCTTTAACCGGATTTATTGTAGAGCTTTGGCCTTTCTAATTTCTTGCCTGTTTATTGCAATAACCTCTCAATAGTTTTTTCATCAATCAATCTGGCTCCTTACCAAGACACTTTTGACATTCCCTCCCTACCAAGTAGATAAGACCATACATAAGTCTAACAACATATTCTGCTGAAAATCCTCCAGGGAGATACACCAATGGCTTTGTATAAAAAATAAACTCAATTTTGTGAGACAGAAATTACTTATTTGCTGTGCGACCTTGGGCAAAAGACTTGACTTCATTGAGACTCAGCTGTCTCAAGACCTTGAAAAGAGAGATAAAGATTATAGCGTCTAAACATCTATCTTTATGCCTGGAGTGTAATAGAGGCTAAATGAATAAACATTTGTGCTAGTTTTACTTATTTTTGACAGTTATATGTAATGGAGGAAAAGCACTGTGTTTGAAGTCAGGAAATAATGATAATAGACCCCAAATATTACCAAATATTTTCTTAACACTTTTCTGGATTCTGGGCCTTTTTTCAAATGCCTTAGATTTATTGACTCATTTAATCTGTATAACAACCCTCTATAGGTGCTATTATTATCTCCATTTAATAGATAAGAAAACTGAGGCACGAAAGGGTAAGTAAATTGTTATCTCCACAGAGCTAGTAATAGAAGATTTAGGATTCAGGCCTTGGTAGTTTGGTTCCAGATTACATGTGCTTAATCAAAATCCCAACTCCGTTGCAACTGCAAACTTTAGGTAAGTCATTTTAACCTACTAAAGTATCAATTTCCTCCTCTATGAAAGTAAAGCATAAATACCTACCTTATAAAATCAGAAGGATTTAATATTGTGGTTGCATTGTGTTCAGCATCTAACCTGCCCTCAGAAAATGGTAATTGATAATTACATGAGAGTCTTTGTAACTGCTTCCGCAAACCTCTAACATCTCTCCTCTCCTCTTAAGAACTCCACCTGTGGCCGGCAGGTGGCATGGTGGTTAAGGGTGCTGGACTCCAAAGGGTCAATTGTGGTTCTAGTCCTGGACCTGGCGACTTGCTTTTCCACTTTCCCTCTCTCTCTCTTGCTCTGTTCCTTTCTAGTCAAATTTAAATAAATAAACAAACAAATCAATAAAGTTAAATAAAATAATTCCTTCATTCAAAAAAAAAGAACACCAACCTTTCACTTTAGCTAGACTGAATCACTTGCCCATTCTCCTTTTGCATTTCCATGTTCAGAGTATTCTTGCATTTTCTTTGCTAACTCATATTATTATTATTAATATAAACACTCAGTAGAAATATCTCCTCCTCCTCAAAATATTTCTGTTCCTTTGAGGCTGGGTCAAATTGCAGTATCCTTATCATCATGCACATATTTTTATTCCATTTTTTATGAAGTATTATAATGATTTTTTGATCTGTCTGACACTATATTGTGAGGTGCATAAGGGCATGTACAATGTTCTTTCTGTTTTACTTACCAGTGGCAATGTCAACGCCCTGTCCGTGGGGATCAGTATAAATCTGCCGAATGAATCAATGTTGCTATTGCAGGGTTGTAAGATATCTTCCTATCTGATTCTGATTCAATGTGATGACTAGCCTACTGAATAAATTTCAGACTATTCTGCAAGCACAAAGGATCTGGCAATTAACGCTATCTTACTTAAAACTAAGAAGTGCTTCATAGAAGGATTGAATAGTACCTTGGAAGATGAACAGGATTTCACCATGTAAAGAAGAAAAGGAATGTCAGGCAGGAGAACTTATCAACAGGAATGTGGTAGAAAGTGTACTCTTCATGTGGGGAATGGAATAATCTAGAATGTCTAAATGGGAAGGTTTTTACACATGGAAATGTTGCGCATAAGGATGAGAGAGTGGTTAGAGTAATAGGAGATAAGACTGAAAATGCAGACAGTGGCCAAACTATGAAGGAATTTGAATGCAGTCATATTCCATTATTGTCATTAGAGTCTTGGAATGTTTTGATTGTGGGAGTAAAAGTAATGAGGTAAAGATTTATAAAGATGACTCTTACAGTAATATGAAAGACCAATCAAAATGTGGAGAGATGCTAAAGGCTGAAAAACTAAACAACAATTTATTGGCCTGGGAAAACAGTGACTTGAAGACTTGAATCAAAGGGGGAGGAAACTGATTTCATAGATGTTGTGAAGGTTTGGGGAAGAGCTGTTATGTCTGAGATGAGAACATTGAGATTTTACAAAAGTTCAAAAGGTATTACCTTGGGAACCAGCAGTTAGCGTAATGGCTATGTCGCTGGACTCCCACGTAGTCGACTGCGGTTCGTGTCCGGGACCCGGTGGCTTAAAACTCACGCCGGGCGCGTGTGCGTGCGTGCCCAAGATCCCGAGAGGAGAATGGAGGAGAAGGGATTGCAGCGTGACCATCCCCCCCGGGGGGTGATTTCTCGCTTTCTGTCTCTATGTTTCTCTCTGTCTGTCTGGCGAGCGCACGTGCCCTACAGTGAAAATCTC